AGGATGAAATAATCATTCAGGGGGACTTTACAGACGACATCATTGACGTCATCCAGGAAAAGTGGCCTGAGGTAAATAATTTCTCTCCCCATGTATTTCCTTCCTTATCCACTTGCATCCAATTGAACTTCTGGTCACTGTGAACGTTTAAGTTTTGCACCACCAAGACACTTCAGGCAACATTGTCAGGTGTCTGTGAGAGGAAAAAGAGTAAGAGTTGGTGAGAGGAGTTGGTGCCTAAGTTAACTACAGATTTAGACCTCATGAGGACTAATAGCTCTGCATGACACTTTCAGCAGGGTTGCCATATTTCAAAAAGTGAAAATCCAGACACAAAAGTTGCAAAAAAATTTTTTTGAAGTTTTTGAGCTAGTTTTAAGGAAAATCACCCAAACCAACGCTGCTGACATGGGTTGCCATACGACCAGATTTTCCCAAACATTTTAAACGGTTTTTGCCCGGACACTGCTTCTGACTGCAGTATTCCGGCTATGTCCAGGAAATTCAAGACGTATGGCAACCCTACTTTCAGGATTCTCTGGGTGTGGAGCCAGCATAAATTTTTGCAGCCAAGTTGTGGTCATGCATGATTCTAGATGGGCAACACTCCAGAGTTTCTGACTGGAAGCTCTGCCATGTAGCCGATCCAAGCAGGGCTTGGAAGTCACTGCCAGTCAGTGGTGCTTGGCTTCCTTTGAACCCAAGCTGTGCTGCAATGGGGAAATGGGTCTCCTGACATCATGGTGACATGGGATAAAGCAGTGGTGAGGGACCTCAGTTTCCAACCTGCTGGGCTGAAGAGGCTTCCCACCCCGGCTCAAAGGGAAGGTGCTGCAACTTCTTTGTGTGTGGCCCCAGAGAGTCTTGCCAGGTGCCTCCACTGTGGTCTTTTAAGCACCAGCTGACCTTGTTACCTTAGGCCTTTTTAATTACAATCCATTGGGTGCTTTAGCATTTGCACCAACTTCTCCCTTGTTGGGTTTTATACTGATTTTAGTTCCTTTTTGCATTTTTCATAACAGAATTTCGTATCTTGCAGGTTGATGATGATAGCATTGAAGATCTAGGAGAAGTAAAGAAGTGATGCTGTTTTTTTAAAAGAAGAAAAACAACACTGCCTTCTAACAAACACCAAGTTCTAGTCAACGTAGCCAAAGCAAGGCTTCTACGTGTGTTCGCCTGACAGCAGAACTGTTAAAGGGGCACCCTTATTACTGTTGGCATTTTCACTGTTCTGTATTGGCTGCTTATTTTCTGTTTGTGATTTTTGCCAAAGTTTAAACCTGGGGGAAGTGAGACACTCATGCCTCCGCATGAAGTAGAGACTTAAATAAAGAAGTTATTGTTCCTCACCAAGTAAGCGGTTCCTTTTTTCCCCTAACACAATTCTCAGTCCCTCAGAAATACTGATGTATTCTCTCAAGGCTCAATCTACTAGGTATTTAAAGTAGACTAGGCTCAATCTACTAGGTATTTAAAGTAGTCTTTGAGGTGCTGCAAAGCACTCTCTTTTTTGTGTCTGTGCTGCAAGAGGCTAACCCAGTTGTTCCTTCTGGGGTTTGTAGGTGCCGAGTTTGCCTTCAAGGTGCTTGGCGTTTTGCATCTGCACAATCACCAGAAGAATTCTGGCCTTCATGGCTATGGAAAGGAACTTTTGAACATAGGTTCAAAAATCATCTTGACGGATCTGTGTTGGTTTAGGGAATGGGTAGTGGTGAGGACTTACTACATTGGCTGGCGAATCAAAAATCCATGCCACCGTAGGGTAATACCTTTAGACCAGCTAACCTGCCACAGGATATTGGGCAAGATTTGGAGTTCTCCATAACTATTGACATCATGTGGCTTTTGAAAATAGGTAATTTTGAGAGGTTTGCAGACCTGAGGAGGGCTTCCAGCAGTAAATGAATTGGGGTTTTCATACCATGCTTACTCCTTCATTTCTGTCCACAGCTAGTAGAAGGAAAATGAATTATTCCAAATAAGCACTATTGCATCCCTGTTCTTGATATACAGTAGTACCTTAGTTTTCAAACGTAATCCGTTCCGGAAGACAGTTCAACTTCTGAAATGTTTCAAAACTGAGACGCAAAGGGCGGTCTGCCAATTCAGTAGAGAAAAATGTGTGAAACAACAGATACACGTAGTGGAACCCATTCAACTTCCGAGGCACTGTCGAAAACGGAAGCATTTACCGTATTTTTCGCCCTATAGGGCACACCTAGTTTGGGGGGGGGATAAAAAAAATTATTTCCCCCCCAGGTGCCCAAGCTTCCCCCGATCCCCAGCCCCCAGAACAGGCTGCTATCCGCAAGCCTAGGGAGCCTGGCACGACGTCACGCCGGTCTCCCCAGGCTTGTGGAGAGCTGCTTGAAGCCTGGGGTGTGCTCCGCTGCGCGCCCCAGGCTTCGGGATGCAGGCAGCTCTCCGCAAGCCGTGGGAGCCTGGCGGGAACTCCCGCGGGCTCCCAAGGCTTGCGGATAGCTTCCTGAAGCCTGGAGAGCGAGAGGGGTCGGTGCGCACCGACTCCTCTCACTCTCCAGGCTTCAGCGAAAGCCTGCATTCGCCCCATAGGACGCACACACATTTCCCCTTCATTTTTGGAGGGCGAAAAGTGCGTCCTATAGGGCGAAAAATACGGTATTTCCGGGTTTTCAGCGTTCAAAAACTGAAACGTTCGCGAATGGAGACGTCCGAAAACCGAGGTACGACACTATGTTTTTGGTGCCTTTCATTTTGGATTTTTCTTGGCATGGAACTTTTGGGTGCTTTCTGGTATTGTTGTTTAGTATAATACATGGATGTGCTTAATGATTATGTTTACAGCTGCTTAAAGCGTACAGCTGCAGTCTTTCAGTATGCCATATTTACCCACCCTGCAGAGAAGAATTAATTCTTTTTACATTTGGTCTGATAAAGAGTTGTGTATGAACTGAAAGTTCGCATCCTTCTACACTGTGACCAAAAGCTGGTCAAACAAAGGATTATTTCCATCTTTAATTAGGACCTTGGAAACAACATTTTAATATATAGATGTTATTAATCTCTATGTTTCATTTCATTCTCATAATAGTGCAGTTTTTGGAAATTAAATTCCAAATATATTCAGGGAAAGTTGTGCGATCCAGCTGCCGCATAATACCTGAACTGTGTATTGCCTTGGACAAGCACAATTCACAGATCAGTTCTACTATCACACCTTCCACCAGTCTGGTGAAAAATGTAGCTATTTGCTCTGTGACTTGAGCTATTTGGGGAGACTGCTGCTATGCTACCATGACCTGATTAAAGAATGCAGTTCTAAACAAAAGTGGGATAAATCCATTTGGTTAAGACATGTTTGTTAGGAAAGAAGTGTGTAGAGGGAAGGGATGTGCTCTACCTGGGATGATTTTAACACAGGGATAGGAAACCTGTGGTCCTCTGGATGTTAGGCTACAGTTCCAATCATTCTTGACCATTGGCCATGTTAGCCAAGTCTGATGGGAGGTGGATTCCAGCATCATCTGATGGGCCACAGGTTTCCCACTCCTGTTTAAAAAGATGTAGAATCTGGGGTGAATTTGTATTTGTGCTTATGGACAAAGTGTGGATTCTGACCTGTAGCACTCATTTTGAATTAATTTGGAGAAAAATATGGAATAAATCAGTGTGGGGTTAATGCATGTTTTAACATTTAAGGGCTTGGCTGTTAGGAATAAAACCTGATTCTGTGTAAACAGCTAAAGCGTATTTGGGGGAGGAGGAAGCAAAATTCTAGTCTGCAATAGTCACTCCAGATTATGTTCTACCTCTGCTTGTGGAGGCAGCATGCCTCTGAACACAAGAGCCCTGGCAGATGCAGCCAAGACCCATCTATGCCAGCATCCTTTCCTCACAGTGCCCAGCTAGGTGCCCATGGAAAGCAGGGCCTGAGTGTGACAGGATGCTCCACTGCTGTGTTTTACAGCAACTGGTATTCATAAGCATGCTCTGAATACTAGTTACTGGAAATCCAAAGTGGGCTTCCAATGGGCCTGTGGTTGGCCACTGTAAGAACAGTGTGCTGGGCTCTTGGCTGCATCCACCAGGGCTTTTTTTTGTTCTTACTAATGAAACAGGAGTACAATCCAATGTGCTCTGGTGCTAAAACACAGCTGTGGTAGAAGAGGAGATTCTAGTCCAGGATAAAACACTGGGAAACAAACATAAGAAGAGCTCTGCAGCTGGATCAGGCCAGTCGCCCATCTATCCACCCATCCTGTTGTCACAGTGGCTGACCAGTTGCAAGCAGGGCATGACCATCCCAAGCTGTGTGGCATTCAGTGGCAAAGAAGAGCTGGGTCTCCAGGACTGTCTCTCCCCATATGAGCCAACCTAGACCCTGCAATCATTTCCCAAACTTGGGGTCTCCAGCTGCTGTTGGACTACAATTCCCATCATCCCTGCCCATGGATCCTGCTAGCTAGGGATGATGGGAGTTGTAGTGCAACAACAGCTGGGGGCCCAAGTTTGGGAACCCCTACAATGGGGTTTTTCTTGCTGTGCCTCCTCCATGAGGGGCCCAGAGGGTGGTATCATGAGAGGGGGCCTTTTCTGTGGTGGCTCCCCGTTGGCGCCTGTTTCTCTTCCACCAGGTCTCAGGCCGATGAAGGAATGTGTGGAAGGGGCTTGTGGGTTTGCTTTTCTTCTATTTTGGTATCTTGATGTTGCGGACCGCCCTGGGATCTTTGGATAAAGGGCGGCACACAAATTTAATGGACGATAATCGCAATGATCATAATAATCGTCTGTGCGGCGGCGGCGGCCACTCCGCATTAAAGAAACCGGAGTAAGAAAACAGAAGCAAAGCCACCCCGGAAAGCGGATTAAAGAGCGGCTGGCGCGGGTCTGGGGGCAGAGCAGCCGTTGGAGGCGGAGCGCGGAGGCTTCCCGGGGAGGAGGAGGAGGAGGAGAAGGGCAGCTCCGAGGCCGCTCCGTCCCCCTTTGCCCCTCGCGGCGGGCGCCGGAGGCGGGTAAGCGGCAACTTCGCCCGCCGCCATTTCCCTTTCCCTCAGAGAGAGAGAGAGAGAGAGAGAGACGCCCCCTCCCTCAGTTTTCCAAAGTTAGGGTCGGTCTCCCGCATCCCCACCCGGCCTGACTCCCCCCCCCGCTCCGCACCCACTTTCTGGGGGACCCCCGACTCCCTTGGGTGCTCTGCGGGCGAACTCTCTGCCCACCCCCCACCCCGGTATTCAAAGGCCGCGCACTGTGTCGTGTACGTTATTCTCTCTTCCCCCCCCCCCGAGTATCCTGGGATCTGTAGTTCGCCCCCCTCACGGGGCTGCAGTTCCCAGCACCCTCAGCAAACCGCAGGGCCCGGTTGCGGGGAGGGGGGCGGGAGATACTTTAAATCGCCTGGGGCCTTCCTTAAATCCTCAGGAGACCAAAGCGTGCACTTAATATTTCCTCTGCTCCCGCCTGCCTTTTAAAAAGATGTCTTTATCAAAAGATTTCCATAAGTCACAAAAGTACATTCAGTGTCTCTGCTTTCAAATCGTAGAATCTTCCATACAGGTCAGTTACTGTCCATTTGAAACATTTTGTTTGGTGTAGGCAATGTGGGGGAGTGGGGGGAGGAAAGAAAGAAAGAAAGAAAGAAAGAAAGAAAGAAAGAAAGAAAGAAAGAAAGAAGAAAGAAAGGAGAGAGGAGAGAGGAGAGAGACAGTATACTTTCGTTCTTTACAGAGTATTTGAGTGGTGTGCCTGTCTTACCTTTCTAAGCCACCTCCCACTTTTCATCTCACATGTCCCTGTGTGTAATCAATTTACTTGGAAATTTCTGCTATGCCCCTTCAGTTAAAAACTTGGGGTGCTACACAGTTACATGTATAGGTGGGAATATATGTATTATGTGCATGCATTTGGTTGTAATACACACGCACTGCATTCAGAATGTCTTTCACTGTAATCTACTTTTATATGTTTTTAATTGTGTGTTTTAGGGACGCGGGTGGCGCTGTGGGTAAAAGCCTCAGCGCCTAGGACTTGCCGATCGAAAGGTCGGCGGTTCGAATCCCCGCGGCGGGGTGCGCTCCCGTCGTTCGGTCCCAGCGCCTGCCAACCTAGCAGTTCGAAAGCACCCCCGGGTGCAAGTAGATAAATAGGGACCGCTTACCAGCGGGAAGGTAAACGGCGTTTCCGTGTGCGGCTCTGGCTCTCCAGAGCAGCGATGTCACGCTGGCCACGTGACCCGGAAGTGTCTCCGGACAGCGCTGGCCCACGGCCTATAGAGTGAGATGGGCGCACAACCCTAGAGTCTGGCAAGACTAGCCCGTACGGGCAGGGGTACCTTTACCTTTACCTTAATTGTGTGTTTTAGAATGCTGTAGATGTTTCATGTCTGAATTTTGGATTTTGGACAACAAAAAAACATTAAAAATGAGCAAATGTTAAAATTTATATAACTATATTAAAAACAAATTAGTATATAATAAGGCAACAACAAACAAATTCAGCAAACATTTAATACAATTCAGTGTCTCCTTCCTGATGAGTAATTAAAATTTTCCGTAATGTGAGGTGGCCTCTTACTATAAACTGACTATAAGTTGTTTCAACAACGCTTTTTGATGTATCCCCACTCAATCTCTGTTATGGCAGTTACCCTCTGAATTGCTGAGTTGCAGTGCACAAGAATAGGGTTCTTCATTGCTCTGGGAGAGCTGAACTGCAGTTAGAAATTGACCACACCACTTCTGCAAGAATTGTACCTGTTACAGTCCTGACCCCAGCACAGTCCTTATGGAATCATCATTGCCAATCTCCACTCCACAGCAGGTAACAAAACCAAGTTAAATCTGAAAGCAGTATTTAATACCTCACATTTCACTAAGGACCAAAGACTGATGGACCTAGATGTGTATTCTCCTTTTTTGTTTCAAGGTTACTTCTAGATTAGAGTTTAGGAAAGGTCTGTGGTGCTTGTATGTTCGAAACAGTTTGCTGTAATTAGGCCACTGGCCCATCTGGTCAGCATCCTGTTCTTGCAGTGGCCAAGCAGGCCAAGACCACAAGCAGGACCGGAGGGCAACATAACTCTCCCCTACTGCAGCTTCCAGCGGAGGTAGAACATAGCTGCTGTGGTTAGTCACTATTGATAGAATTACAGTGGTACCTCTGGATGCGAACGGGATCTGTTCTGAAGTGGACGCAACCTGCAACTGTGCATGCGTGGGTCGCGATTCGCCACTTCCGCGCATGCACATGATGTCATTTTGAGCATGCGCGAGTGGCAAAACCCAGAAGTAACACGCTCTGTTACTTCTGGGTCGCCGCGGAGCGCAACCCGAAAAGGCTTAACCTGAAGCGACTTCAACACGAGGTATGACTGTATTTTCCATGAACTTCTTTAATCCCCTTTTGAAAACATGCAAGTTGATAAGCAACTCGTCAGAGTGAATTCCATAGTTTAGCTATGCGCATGTCTCTGAGCTTTCAATGAAACAGTTGCAAGCTTTTAATGGAATAGAAACAAGCCACAGCGCTGTTAATAAAAGCTTCGTATTTTGAACTGCATACTTCTGTAACAGCTACCTAATTTGTGATGTGATGTAGGTGGGACTGTTTTCTCCTCCCCTTCCTCTTGTAGAATACAACCTCTGAACTGGAGAGCAGTACCATTCAGAAGCAGAGGAAAGAACTCCAGCTGCTAATTGTGGAGCTGAAAGATCGTGATAAGGAGCTCAATGATATGGTTGCAGTGCACCAGAGGCAGCTGCTGGCTTGGGATGACGATCGTCAAAAAATACTGACGCTGGCAGAACGGTGCAGCAAGTTGGAGAGTGAGTGTCATGCAGACCACAGGCTGAAGTATTCAGCCAGTGCAGCAGTAAGAGTATTGTGCCCATTTTGCAGATGGAGGAACTGAGCCTGACAGCGGCTTGAGGGCACCGGTTAGGTTTTTTTGAACTGTGATTTCCTGGTTTACAGCTCCGTCCACAGCTTCATGGCAGTGGGCATGGCTCAGTGGCAGAGCACATTTCACATGTAGATATCCCCAGGTTCAGTCACTGGCATCTCCAGTTGAAAGGATCAAATAATATCCCAGAAGAGGGAAAATGTCTACCTGTACCTGATCATCTGCAAAGCCACTGCCGGTCCAAAGTAGAAAGCAGTAGAGAAGATGGATTAATTGACTGACTCTCTATAAGGCAGCTTGATATGTTCAGTCCCTTGGCGGTTACATTATGATTGTGCTCTAGGTTAGAGACAAAAGACATTAAATAAAAGGCAATAAGCCCAATTAAAGCATATGATGTGCACCTCTTCTCATATACGTCCTAAGCTGTTTGTTGGAACTTTAAAGATGCTGTAGTCCAGGGGCTTGGAGAATCTATTTGGCTGGTCCCACAGGTGCTGGCTGGGTACAGAATGGTGATTTTATCTGAACAGAAGCACCATGGAAATGCTAGAATGTTGTGAATGGCAGGAAACATGTAGAACCTTTCGTAAGTGATGCTGTAATAATAGCAAAATGCCAGTAGTTTTCTAAAAGGACTGATATCACATAAGATGGATGCTGTTCAAAAAGAGCTTCATGTTTTTGTATTGGGTTAATTTTTATATGCCCAACATCTGTATGTAAAACCTTCAAATATAACCCCAAAGATGTGCTAAGAATTCCATTCAAACTCCCAAATTGTGGAATTTAAAAGGGGGAAAACATGGCAGGTAAAAAGATCCAGGAGAACATAAAACATTTTAGGATGACTCCTAGGTAGACATTCCTTTATAGAATTAAAATATCTGTACCTATCTGAACCTCTCTCTCTCTGCCTTTTTTTTTTAACATTTCAAACGTCAGCTTAGTTTAAGAAAGTTTTGTGTGTGCATCGTTGCTCTCAGTTGCTTTCCCAGAAACAGTACCTGTCATTTATCCCTCAGATGAGCTGCACAAGAGAAATGAGATGATTAGCACACTGACTAGAAGGCTAAAGCACCTTGAATCCCAGCAAAATGACCGCAAGATAACACTTGAGAATACTCAGCAGAAGCTCCAGCAACTCTCTCGGAAAGCCTCTGATACATCACTTCACTGCCAGGCCCTCGAGGTAAGCTTTAGTTCGTGGCTAGATTCTGAATGCTTTGGGTAGATTTGAATGTAACTCTGAGTAAGGGACAAACTTGACCTACTGCTGCTCCCATGTGTTTTGTGGGTGGACCCTTCAGCAAGATGCTCTCAGCATGCCTCCCTTCCTTAAGAGCACCCACTTCCTCTCCATCACTATCATTGCACCACCCCACCTCCCATAGGAGAGGATAAAGTCTATAGTGGTTACTGTTCCTTCTTGCTCAAGATGTTTGAAGAAGGATTGAAGAAGGTAGATCAACAGATAGGAGGAGGAGGAGGACCAGGAGGCGCCAGAGATCAGCAGTGCACCCCATACATGAACTCAGGCCTTGGAAGGTGCCCAGAAGTTCCCGCTGCTAGCCCTGACTAGACCTGACATTTTCTATGACTGACATATCTCAGTTTCTTTATTTGGCTGAAGACCGATTCAAGGGACATGTGTGTGATTGGACTGGACCATAGACAGGATAGTTTATGAAATAAAACATTTGCCTCCACACAGATTCCCCTATGAAATTTCTTATATTGTAGGTTTCCTGTGTTTTCTCCTTTGTGGCTCATGCCAGCTTTAGGGAGGAGGGGAGTAGAATTCCAAACCCAGGGGCCCTGCAGCTGCTTTTAGCTAAAGGACAATACTTTGGGAGATCTGGCCATGGATATTCCACTTCTAGGTTAGTGTGCTAATACGGTTCCGGTGAAATAGGAACAGCAGGTGCAGGTTACAGTAGGTGGATAGGAAGAATGGAAAGTGAGGGGGAGAATTAAGAGCTAGTTCACATTGAACAGTTTGGGGTTGTTGTTAGCAGACCCTGCAGCATGGGTGCATTAGATTGTAATAATCACTTACAGTTTCTGGAGTTCCAAGGCTTTATTTATGCAGAAACTCTTTGCAGGATGAATAATGATAGAGAGAAACAGCAGGCGTTGTCTAGACAGGTTAGAAGAGAATAACAAAATGGCTCAACTTTTAGGAGTGGAGTTATCTTTGACAAAGAAGCTACAAACGGGGTGGCTAGATCACTAGACAAACAGTGCCCTTGTGTGGTCTAAAGTAACACATGCATTAACCACAAACTCAAAAGAAGGAAATGTATTTGTTTTTCTCCATCAGATGTTGTGAGCTAAAATGCTGCGCTCATACCAGTGTGCTGAATTTGCAGTAAGGTGGCTCTTCTTAAGTCATCCTTAAGTCATCCTTAAGTGATCAAGGATCTGGGCTGCTAGGGTAGCTTTCTGCTTGTGGTGCAATAGGGCTGGGAAGGCCACACAAGGCACAGCGTTTAGATTTCACTGTCAACACTTTTTCCTTTCTTCTCTGTTTCCTAGGAGAAAAATCAAAGCCCTCAGTTGCTCAGTGATGGAGCTGTCCAATAAAGTAGGACAGCTGCAAGCCAAGAGAGCAGGAACTGCTTACTATGTTAAAATTAAAGGTACGGTAATTTTACCTAATAATAATAATTAATAATAATAATAATAATAATAATAATAATAATAATTTGTTATTTGTACCCCGCCCATCTTGGCTGGGTTTCCCCAGCCACTCTAAATGTTAGGAGCACCCCTTGTTTCTGGGTACACTTAAATAAGACAGGGGCAGGGCCCAAACCAGATGCTGCTGATTTCCTTATAGAGCAGGGGTAGACGACCGGTATTTAAAATGCAGCATCAGTAGCAGGGAGTAGAACCTTTCCCATCGCCACCCACTGTCTGCAGTTCTCTATCCAAACTGATTTTTAAGCTGGTTTCCCACCTCTGCTAGTAGGAGGGCTCTACATGGAGAAAAGGGAGGTAAGAAAACCCTGGAGGAGAGGGAGGTGTTCAGCGGGACATGAAATCCTCACTCCCAATACGAGGTTTTAAGTTTCTTGGTAGGGATTTGGTGAAAGGCTTGGTTCTGCTCCCAGGTCTGCTGCCTTCGGCGATTTCAGACGGAAGTCTCTCCTGGCCTTACCTGCAAATGCTGGGGTTCCAACCTGGACCTTTGGCATGCAAAGCAGTGTTCTTCCACTGAGCTTGGGGAAAAGACAGCAATTTGTGCTGTAAATATTCTCCTTTGGGAGTTTTTAAATCTTTGTTTTGTTTTCGAGTCCTGTATTTTAAATGGTTTCCCCCTCCAACCTGTTCTCTTCTGGTCTCCCCATTCCTCCCCATATATCTTCATTCATAGATCTATTTCTTTCATGGTTTTAATTTTAGAAGAATTTTTTTTAAAATGGAACAGTTCTATTTTGTGAAGGTTGTGAGCCAATTTTGGGGACTGTGGTCAAGAAGCAGGATACAAATCTGTTAAATAAATAAAATGTGATAGAGTTCATTCAATCAGATGAACGCTGCCAAGCTCTGAGCTAGTTTTGAAATGAGGACTAATAACTTTCAGCAATTCAACATATAAAATGAAAGAGGCACAGATGGCAGCAGACAAGCAAAACAATGGACCAAATTGTTTTTGTTTTGTTTTGGTTAGGATAATGACATACTTGAAGCAACGAATCATATTACTGAATTTACATGTAAATTTAAAAAATTAGAAAACGCTCTGCGTGCAGCAAAGATGGAGGAATCAAGCGTCAAATAGGAAAAGCAGGATTTTAAACTCAGGCTGAAGGAACTTATGTTGGAAACAAGCAAATTAAAAGGTAAACAATGCTTAGAATTTGATATTCATAATCTAAAAACTGAGTTGGAGAAGGACAGTGTTCCTGTTTGCATTTGCTCCAGCCAAATGAATCATGCTATCTATCAATCAGAGAATTTTCAGTTCATTAATCACCTGCCTTCATATTTAAGTACACTTGCAGTTTTCCCCTAAACTCAATATGTAGGTGCCTTTTTTCAGATATTGAATATACGGGAACTTAGAATTTAAAGAGCAAAACTACGACAATTTTTTTAAAAGGAAAGGGAATAACTTTCCCCCATTCCTTCTTGTTGGAATGCATCAGAAGCAAAAGGCCCCCCTCCAAAAAAAGTATATGCTATTTTCTATAATCAGACTTCAAGTTAACATACATTTATTTGATTTAAAACCTTTGTACCCCACCTTTCCACCAATGTTGGCCCCAGGGCAGCTTTCAACAAACCTTTTACAAATAGCTAATTGTATAAATACAATCCATCACAACAAAAGAAACAATAGATGCAGGAGCAAAATAAGACAGCAGATTAGCTGGAAATCTGAGTGCCACCCAAAGTTCAGGCATTATTATTATTATTATTATTATTTGTGTCCTGAATGATAATATCATGGGTTCTTGACAGATGTTCCCAATGAGTGTTTGACCACAGAAAAGTCCCAGTGTCTGGTCATGACCCCCTCACTTCTGACGGTGGGGTACCCGGAGCAGAAAACCTTAATGTGTGTGCAAGCTATTATGGTAGCCTGCTGTCTTTCAGATACCTTGCAATGGACGAGACAGTTATAGTTAATGTACAATTTTGTTGGTAATAATGTACAATAAACTGCTAATGATAAACTATATATTCAGTGTATAGTTTTAATCCTTGTATGCAATGATATGAATTTTAGTGTTGCATTGCAACAAAAAGTTCTTGCCGGACATTTTGGTTTATCACCTCATGCTTATGATAATTTAAATAGATGTGAACTGTCTTAAAGATATTTCATCTCATGAAACACTCTCTCTTTTTGTTTTATAGGTGACCTCAGCGAGAAAACAAAAGAAAACAATGAGCAGAGGGAGGAAATTCATGACGCCTCAAGCAAGAAAACAGTTATTTGAACAATGAATTGATGCTTAGTGGTGAGTAGACGAAAACTAATGTTTTGGACCTTAGCTTTGGAGGGAGCCTACAGTCCATCTGCCTCTGATTTAGCAAATATGGTTTGATCTTTTTGCCTGTATTCTTTTTTTAGTATAGCTGTTGATCAAAATACCCTGCCAGAAATCAGAGCTAGTTCCCATATGGAGTGGAACCATTCCCTCCAACCTTTGATCGGATGTAGGTGACTCCAACACCCTTCAACCTGCATGACCAGTGGTCAGGAATGATGGAGTTGTAGTCCAACAACATCTGGAGAGCCACAGAATCCCATCCCTGCTTCCCAAGAGGGAAATCACTCCCCTAAGGACCTGATTCTAAAGAAATCCCTGTGTATAAAAAAAGAAAATGTTAGCTAAATTAGCGTTCATTTTCTTTATGATTATTGCTTATTTATTGTTTCTCTGTGCAATTCTTTGTTGTGGAAAATCACCAACCATTCAACCCCTCTCTCCTAACAGCTGAGAGAGCAAACAGAAAAGACCAGCTGCTTCAGTCTGCTAAATCTAAACAACTGCGAACTGACACAGAACTGAGCAATTTGCGACAGGTTTGACTCCAGTTTCTGGGGGGGTGGGGGAGGGGATTGCACTTGTTTTGTCCTTTTATGTCGCAATGAGGAACATAACAAAAATCAAAGGTGAACAGGATTGGCTGTTGCAATAACTTGTTTGAAGAACCTGTTTTTGATACTGGGGCTCAGTCTTGGAATATATGAACTAAACAGAAAGGATGAACGTCTCTAAAGCATCTCAAGTGAAATATAGTAAAATATTTTAAATTCATATGCACTGGAAGATATCTCCAAATGCTTGTGGTTAAATAACAGCTTGGTATGGTTTATTCACCAGGGACACGGGTGGCGCTGTGGGTAAAACCTCAGTGCTTAGGACTTGCTGATCGTAAGGTCGGCGGTTCGAATCCCCGCGGCGGGGTGAGCTCCCATCATTCGGTCCCAGCTCCTGCCCACCTAGCAGTTCGAAAGCACCCCTAAGTGCAAGTAGATAAATAGGTACCGCTTTCTAGTGGGAAGGTAAATGGTGTTCCATGTGCGGCACTGGTGCTAGCTCACCAGTGCAGCTTCATCACGCTGGCCACGTGACCCGGAGGTGTCTTTGGACGGCGCCAGCTCCCGGCCTCTTAAGTGAGATGAGCGCACAACCCTAGAGTCGGTCATGACT